GGAATGTAAGTTTAGTTCAACCTCTGCAGAAAACAGTGAGGTGATTTCTAAAAGAAATAAAAAATGAGCTTCCATAGGACTCAGCAATCCCTCTCTTGGGAACTTAGTCAGAGGAGCATAACTTACTGTACCAAATAGACTCCTGCACATGCATCTTTATTGTCACTCTATTCACACTAGCAAAAACATGAAACCAACCCAGAAGGGCATCAAAAGTCGACAGGATAAAGAAAATGTGGTACATATACACAATGGAATCCTATGCAGCCATAAAGAACATCAACATTGCAGCCTTTGTAGCAACTTGGATCCAGTTGGAGACCGTCATCTTAAGTCACGATCACCACTGCACTCCAGTCTGGGTGACAAAGTGAGACTCCAACTCAAAAATAAAAAAAAACAATAAAATAATGCCGGGCTCGGTGGCTCAGCCTGTAATCCCGCGCCTTTGGGAGGCTGAGTTGAGTGGATTGCCTGAGCCCACGGGTTCGAGACCTGCCTGGGCAGTGAGACCTCATCTTTACAATAAATAAAAAAAAAATCAGCCAGGCGTGGTAACGCACGCCTGTAGTTCCAGCTACTTGAAAGGCTGAGACTGAAGGATTGCCAGAGCCCAGTAGGTCGAGGCTGGGGTGGCCATGAGCAGTCACTGTACTCCAGTCTGGGTGACAGAGTGAGACTCTAACTCAAAAATAAAATAAAATAATATAAAATAAGGGTTATTAAGAACCAAGGTAACATCTAGTAGTTTAATATGTTTAGCATGCTCTATGCGATATAGTATACTTAACAATTTAGATACGTAGAAATAAACTACCAAACTCAGTTCATACTAAGAAAGAAAAATTAAATAAAATAACAGCATTTATTCTATTAAGAGTGATAGTTTGTGTTCTGGTAGAATGATAAAAGCACATTGGAAACCTCCCTAGCATAGAAAATCATAAAGTAGAAGGCATATAACAAAAGTCTGGAGTTCTTAAAATTTCTTAATCAAATAAAATCACTACTCTCAAATATTTCAAACATGATACATAAAGAAAACAAAAAATATTTTGGCATGGATTTTCTAAATAAACTAGATATTTGCACATCTCCAAATGCATCATAAAGGTAGTCAGATCATGCAGTTCTTAAAAACCCATTAAGTGGACTTGATTTCATCTACAACCTTGAAATGAGATCACTGAAGAAGAAGCATAGTTTTTGGAGAATTTCAGAACATGGAGTAATAGATGTTCCTTTGTAGAACAAGAGATAAATCATCCCAGGCTTCTCAGAAACCATTTTTGTTGGAGCAGACCACCTTCCCAAACCACATTTCAAGCTCTTCTTCCTGGATCTATGTCATCTGCTTCATTCAAACCCATCTACCTGGAGTTTTGAGTAACATGCTGAGTCTCCTCACATCCCAGGGCTTTTTCCTTTGCTCCAGAAACTTGATCAGCTCTGGCTTAGAGACAGCAAAGCCTATTTTATTTTTTAAAAAAGTAACATGACCATTGCTATGGTTCTTTGATTACAAGCGTAGTATTGTGCTTAGTAGAGAACACATCATACAAGATTCTAGAACTTTAAATTTGTGTTTTTTGTTGTTGTTTTTTAGTTGGAATCTCACTTGGTGGCCCAGGCAAACCCAGGATCAACCTGCTGAGCTTAGATGTTTTCTCCCTCTCAGCCTTCCATAAGTAGCTGGAACTATAGGTGGTTGCTACCACACCCAGATAATTTGTTAATATTATAGAGATGAGGTCTTGCCAAGTTGCCCAGGCTGTTCTCCAACCCATGGATTCAGGCAAACCTCTCATCTTGGCCTCCCAAAGTGTTGGGATTACAATCTTGAGCTACCGCTCCCCACCTTAAATTTGTAGGTTCTTAACTCAGTACTAGTGAGTCAAAAAATTATGGTAGCAATTGGATTGAGGTGTGGTTAATTATATTCTATGCTACTAAATTCCTGGTTTTACCACTAATATAGATAGAACGACACATGTCAATTCAAAATAGAGAATGCTTCATGTGAAAATGAAACAGCTTTAATATATACTTTTCTATGTGAACAAATCACCAACTTTTCTTTGATAGGAGGAATCTGAAACTCATTTTGCACAAAGCAGAAATTCCGAGGAATCATTCTACAAAGAAAGGTTTGAAATTCTTAGTATGAAATAGGGATTGTGTTTAAAGACCATGCTTACCTAAAATAGCAGGTTTCTGTGGTTCTCTAACATCAAGTTCCAGTAAAATATCTGCTGAATATTCCTCTGGAGAGAATTCTATGACCACATTCTTGAATGGTCCACAGCTCCTGAAAACAACAACAACACATATTTACCAAGTGATCATGTCTCTAAGTAAAGCAAGTGAGAAGAAAGTAAGGTCCAGCTTGAAATATCTATCTGTAAAACCTGTAACAGCCTGTAATAACTTGCTTGATGACCAGGCACTTTGGGAGGCCAAGGTGAAAGGATTGCCTGAGCCCATGGGTTTGAGACCCACCCAGGCAAGTTGGCAAGACCTTGTCACTACAACAAACAAAAATTAGCCAGACATGATAGTGTGCACCTGTAATTCCACCTACTTACATGGCTGAGGTGGAAGGATCTCAGGAGCCCAGCAGGTCAAGGCTGTGGTTGCCAGGACCATGCCACTGCCCTCCAGTCTGGGTGACTGAGTGAGAGTTCAATTCAAAAAAAAAAAAAAATAGCTTGCTTGACATAAGTAACTCCATTTTGTAACAAATCTTCCATGTTAACCTAAAAATAACCCCCTTATGTAACCTTCCCATAAACACAATCACACACCCACATTCCTATTTTTTTGGTGCTTGGAAACACCCTAGTTATGCAAATTCTGTAACCATCCGTACCCCTTCATAATCAAATATTCTGCAAAGAAATCCTCTTCAAACTGTACAGCTTATGTAATTTCTGCCTTTATATACCACCAACTCACCCTGTTTGGGGCCGAGAGTTCTTTGGACACTAGTCTGCTCTTAGTCACCAGCATCAATAAAGAACTCATAATTTGACCCTCTCTGATTGTTGCTGTCCTTTCTCACAATCTGGCTATAACATTTGGAGGCCCCAGTGAGATGAGTCGCCAACATGGCTCTGTGGGAAGGTGTGGGGAGGTGACCCTGTGATGTTCCAGGGCCGTATAACCTCTCATCTGACTCAAAGGGAGTTCGGATGACTACTGGCTTCCAATTGCCTCAAAATTCCTGAGTACGTCTGCATTCTCCTGGGAGGTAGGAATCTGTTTAATCTGTATGTGGCCACAACTCTGTAAAGGACAGAGCCTGACGAAGCTGCTCCTTAGACTCTGTTTGTTGACCCAAGATGTTGGTAGAACCATGTCTCAGATTAGTATCCAGTTTCTGTTGGCAGCATCTTGGTTTAGTAACTGATTTCTCTTTGGGGACCCACTTTGACTTCTGATTGCTTGTAACATTGGACACTTTCTGTTCTTTGCATCCTTGCTGTGCTCTTTGCTACAGGGTTTGCTTCTGCTACACCTCAAGACTGACATTTAGACTACAAACTTTTATTAGCCTTTGCTTATCTCTTTGTATTGGAGGTCTGCTTTTCATCAGGTGTCTCCTGTGATTTATTGGTTTTTGACAACGTGGGGTGTAAGGCCTCCAAGCCTACAAATCCCCTGGACTGTATGTTAAGGAACTTCTTTGTTGGGTTTGCACAGAATTACAGAGTACGTTTCTCAAAGGGCAAGCCCCGGATCCTCTGCAAAATCGATTAGTAATGTTGGGTGGCCCTGTACAGGGTCCCTGGATGTTCATGTTACTCCAGTTGAATTTGTTTTGTTTCTTCTGTTTATGGCCATAATTCTGTTTTCTGGTTTCAGATCTCTGATTTGATTTTTTTCAGTTTTCTCTACGTTTGTTTTTGTCTTTCTTTCTCCCTTTTACACTGGTATTGCTTATACAGTTCAACCAGTTCTAACTAAAATATAAACAGCATTTAAACCTGCGCTTCTTTTATTGAACTGCCTATTGGGACAAAGTTTATCCATGCAAGCTGGTTCCAATTTTGTCAGAAATATAATTTAAATTTGAACATCTTAAAAATAATAAACTTGTTACTGTTTCATGGCAAACACTTAAAAAAGGTTATTAAATCTAGATTTGTTTAATTATGTTAACATGTATGCCTGTTACATGTTTTGTCCAGCATGCTACCAAATTTGCTTTCAAGTAAATGAGTACTCATAAATGCATATAACTTTAATAATTGACAATAATATAAAAACACATCTTTAAAACTGTCAACATACATTTCATCAAATGTTATAAAATTACAAGTCTAGCCAAGACCAGGATAATCTCTATTTATATAAATGCTTTTGTTAAAGGATGACTAATTTAAAATTGTTGGTGCCAAACCTCTAAACCTTCTGAATTATCAGTAAAACGCTAAAAACTGACTGACCAGAAAATAGTTTTCATAATTAAGCAAGCTGCTATGAATAAAATATGTATATAAATAAAACAATGCTTATGGGTAAACTCTCCATGTAATTTTTAAAAATTTCAACATTATTTCAAAGGTTCATTAAGTGTCTGAGTTACTTTCAATTTAAGAAAGGAGCTACAATACCAAAAATAAAAATAAAAAAAATACAGGAACAACAGCGTCGAAACATGTCATCATCAGCAGTATGTAAAAATTACGATGAGTATCAAGAAGGGAAATTTATGAAGAAAAAAATCTTGGTATATAATCAAGTTAGTTATAATTTTTTTCTTCTGTTCTACTTTCTGTTTTGACTTAAAAAATAGTGCAAGTTTGTTAATGGGCATATGTAATTGCTAACAATTAATTGTAATTTTTATTTGCTTTTCCACCTAAATTGCAAGTGCTTTAATACATTTTATTTCCAATTTTAGCATGTGTTAATACATTAATGTTAAATAACACCACTATTTGTTATATCAGGCTTGCTAAAGTTTTATTTTATAAACAAAAGGATAAATCACGTGCTGTGCCTAATTAGCACCCTCTTATAAAACAGGTAAAGCTTTAAATGCTAAACAGCTTCCATAACATGAAGAGTTTTAAAAAACTGGCCTAGGCCTAGTACATCTGCCAGATAGATGGGTACTTCATGTGAGCACAGTAAAAATGAGAATTGATCACTCTCACCTAGTTGCTACATTATAGTTCTAGTTGTAAGGTGTGAACAATTTGTTCCTTGCAAATGAAACTACAATTTAGTAATTTATACCAATTCTTAACAAATTTTCCCATTCATAATTATAAATAAGTAGGGACAGGTCATTACACATCCATGTGGTCTGTTCATTCTGAAGTGCTTTGCATCAGACTGTCACAGAGAAATGGTTTAAAAATTTTGGCTGGGCTTGGTGGCTCAGTCTGTAATCCCAGCACTTTCGAGGCCGAGTCAAGTGGATAGCCTAAGCCCATGGGTTCGAGACCCACCTGGGCAACTTGGCAAGACTTCGGCTCCACAATAAATCAAAAACCAGCTGGGCATGGTAGCACATACCTGTAGCTCCATCTACTTGGAAGAATGATGTGAAAGGATCACCAGAGCCCAGCAGGTCGAGGCTACAGTGGCCGGGAGTGTGCCACTGCACTCCAGTCTGGGCAACAGAGTGAGACGCTGACTCAAAAAAAAAAAGAAAAAGAAAAATTTTATATGTATAGCTTATTAAAAATATGAACTTTTAAGATTTTTTGCAAAAACAAAACTGCCAACATGGAGGGCAGCAGAACAAGAGAGCCAAAGAAGAACCCCAATTGGCAGTCACAATTAGCAACGAAAACTCCAAGTTCCCAACAAAAACCTGGTAAAAACAAACATGCTAAGGGGATGGTGTCCATTGCTCAAGGGTACAGCCTGTGGGGACAATGGAAACATAGTTGTCCCCAAAAGTCCTAACCTCCTGGACCTTGTCTACTGTACAGGCCAATAAGCCATTCGGAAGCAGGTGCATTCTCTTTTGAACAGAGGAGAAAACACTTGGCACTCAAATAATGGCCACCTATGGTGGCCTGCAAACATGCTAAATTGCCTAGCCCTGGCTCACCATCACCCCAACAACCCCCCAGGTAAACCAAGGTGCTGGAACCCAAATTACTTTCTAATTTAACACAGGTGCCAGCCTTTTGGTCGTGGTCATCCTTGTTGAAATTATATATCCTTATACAAAAGAATTTTACCCTCTACACATCAGAGATTAAAGAAATAGCCTTGGGGCTGCTAGGACAAAAATCCAGTCCAGTCCAAGACAACAGTATGGTCCAGCCCAAGGACAAAAGTGTGGTCCAGATATGAAGGCAGTAACATACTGACCTAAACAATTGGACAATAAAACAAAAGGGTGTCCATCTTGTCTTTGGACCATAGCAGCTACTGCCATACTAACTTAAAAAACTAATAAAATTACTTGTATGATGGCTGTATTTTTATTCTACAATAAAACAACTGGGGTTTTTTCTAAATAAAGGGACTATATTTCATTACTAAAGTACCGCTATAGATAATTTACAAAAAATATTTCAACTTACATTAATAAATCAAAGGCTTCATATGGAATTACTTTCACTTTTTTATCATTTTTTCTGGAACAATGACCCTTTTCATCATTGCTTAATAATTTTTGACTGTGCTCTCACATAGTATTTGATTAAATCCAAATAATATTTGGTTAAAATCACACTGTTACCTATACGTGCCCTTGGAAATAAATAGGTAGGGAACATCTGTATAACCCACCTCAGCAAGAAGAAGTTACAGAAAATCGATCTTCACCCTGGTTTTCAAAATAGAAAAATCTTTCCAAGAGCAGAAATGGGAAATAAAAGGATAGACCAAAGGTGAGAAGCCATTTTTATTTCAATCCTAAACCTGACCACAATAATAAAAATAGAGGCTGTGTCCCCCCAAAAATATACCTTAGATTAAAAAAAATAACTTTGCCAACATTGTCCTTTTAGAAACCCAGACTTCTCAAGTATAACCCACATTAATCCTTTCCAATGTAACCCTTCGTTAAAAAATTACCAATGAGTCTCTATTAAGCTATCTCCTGCCTCTACAAAAGGGCCAGACAAATGTACACTCCAGTATTTGTCCTCCACACCTTGTGATCCATTCCACCCGGACGACATGGTTTTTGTCAAAAAGTTCCAGAAAGATGGACTAATGTCTGTCTGGAAGGGACTGTTTCTTGTGATCGACACCATGCCAACAGCAATCAAGATCGATGGGATACCAGTCTGGATTCACCATACCCGAGTCAAAAGGGCAAAGGAAACTGACCTAACTCCACCAGTTCATGTCATCAAGTGTGCTGTGTTGGCAAGGGACCCCAAATGTCCACGCCCTCATTCAACAAGGGAAAACAGTCACCATTCAGCCACTTGGACTGCAACCAAGGACTCCAAGAAACCCCCTCAATATTGCTTTTTGACATACATCTAAACTGCGAAAATCAGACTGGTTGCTAATTTCTTTACATGCATTATACTCACCCTTTACCTATTGTTTTTGTAATAATACTTGTTTTGGGTTTTGGTGTAGGAGTGCTTACTGTAGCTCCTGCAAATTGGAAATGTGGCAAAATCTCTGTTAATGTTATCCTACCTCCTATGTGTAGGATGTGTTCCAGACCTCCTATGTTGTGGTGTTACTTCTTAATTTATTTCCCCCCTCTTGGAATAACTTATACTTCCTATACTTTTTCTTTAATGTCTTTCACACCAGAAAAGGTCCTAGCAATCCAAAATTGGATCCATCATTCATCTTTGGTCCAATTTAAAGTAAACCTTCCTAAGCTGGCACAAACAAAAAAGAAATGTATAAATGGACGCCTGTACGGTAGACACAGTATACAAAATAATTACTACAGCAAATCATGCAAACAGTGGGCAGCCCCCAACTATGTAAAGGATATAAACTTTTATCTGTACCCCAGTAACCTCACTGACCACAGTTGTAATCAGAAAAACAAATTCTATTGTCCAGACTGGAAATGTGTCACCATTGTAACCTACAGTGTGAGGCCTAATGACACATCTAAAATCACGCTTTGGCTAGGTACTGATGCAGACAACCTATATATTTAAAAGTTATTAATCCTCTCCATTGTTCCTGGCATACAGGAGATACCTGGCATATACAACTCTATATAAGTAAGTATAACCATGGTGCCTTATTCACCATCTGGCAGTAAGCCCCTAAAAAACCATGGACAAACCAATAGGGCCATTGGCAGAGCTGGAAGTATCCCCTGTTCGGTTGCCAGCAGCCTCCACCTCAACCTCAGCCATCTGCCAACCAAGTTGCTACCCTGGGTTCACCTCAACAGCTCAATAGTTCATCTTGACCACTTCCAAAACTGGCCCACCAACCCCCTAGTCTTTTCCTATGTTAACTCATATGCAACATCTGCTTAATGTCACTAGGCCCCAGATTGCTGGTTCTGCTTAAAACCACAACCCTCGTATTATGTGGGCCTAGAAGTTGAAACTCCTATCATCACCAATGCAGACAAAAGTAAATGATCTCTGGAAATGGTTCACATCAATCTAGGTGATGTAACTGGTAAAACCTCCTGCCTTATAACCCCAGGTTTTAATCTAACAACTTCTCTGTTCTCTGATATTTGTAGCTTATCCCTCACTCTAACCATGGCCAAACCCATGGCCTACATGGCCACTGCCAACACCTGGTTAGCTAGTTCTACAGGCCTTACAAAATGTACTACTACCAAAAGGTTAATTAATCAGTCTACTTTATATATTACTGTTCATGTGCTGCCTCAGGTTTATGCTTATTGTGGTCCTAAAGGAGCTTTTCTACTCAATTGCCCTGGTCTTCAATTGCTTATTCAAAATGCACTGTTCCCTTGTTAGTACCTGCAGAAGTCAAGCTAAGTATAGCAGGAATAGCTGAAACTGGCACCGCTGCTGTGGTTTGTGGAGAACTGAGTCTATCTAACCTTGCCCAAGAAATTGATGCTGACCTAGGTAACAAAATTTGCCATGGACCAACTCCATGAAAGGTAAAATCCCTTGCTAAAGATATATATATGATATGTATATAAAAGGTATACATATTTATTTTTTTTGTGTGAGTAGGAGTTTCACTCTCATGTTCCAGGCTGGGAGAGAGACTCCAACTCAAAAAGTTAAAAAAAGAGACATGATTACAACCTTCACTGGGATCTGAGGATTTACCCTATCTCCAATGGGATTCTTAGGTACTGTGCCTTCCCATAATACTCAGCCACAAGAAAACATTTTTAATACTGCAGTTCTTACATTCATGGTGAGAACAGTTCATGGCAACTAAGCAGTATAGATGAAGAGAACAGAGGAGGCTATATAGGGAGAAGTGTCCGGTAGACCCGCTGAATATCACATGAAGAACAAAAAAGTAGTTGAAACAAACTCAGTAGGCAGGACCATTACAAGGACAACAGGAAGGTTTGCAAGTTTCAAAAACATGACATTCCAGTTGACCTAGGACACAATTACCTGAGAAGCAGTCATTTTGCCCTTTTCCTCCTATTTCTCTGATAGCTTTTCAGGTGAGATTATCTAATCAAGTCACACCTGCATGTTGAAAATATGCCTTTATTTCAAAATAATATTGAATGTATTTTTTTTGTCAGAGTCTTACCACACTCTCAGGAGCCCCTGCACTTGCTCTCCTGTGTGCCTGAGGTTCTCTTTGATGTGTGGATTCTTCCACCATCTCCCTGAGGTGGGCTTACCTTGTCCTTTGGGATAGTTTTTCTTCCTTCACAATTGCAAGATCATCCAGAGGACAGAAATCATTTCTACCTTTTCCTCTCAAGAACAGGGATGTGTCGATAAATGCACACATTCGGAGAATGGTTTCTCCGAACTAAAACAGATTTCTTGAAAATTGCTAAAAAAAAGAAAAATAATAAAACTTAGACTTAATCAACCACAAATGGGCGTTAACTGTCAAAAGTCTGACATGACTCCCTTTTAGATGGAGGGGGGACTCTGGCCTCTTTGCCTGTTTGCACGTGGCTAAAATGATTTTGAGATGCTGAAAAGATGAGACAGACACAAGAATGCAGCCCTTCATACTAACTCTGGAAAAGTGAGAGTATGTACGCTAACTCTTTTTGTTAAATAAAGGAGAATGGGCACAATCAACCAAGGAGAAAGAATTTACCATTTTCCAGGACTCCTCTCATCACCCAAATACCTCCAAGTCTAAGTCACCTCTTGATCTTGGCCCTCCTCTGCCCCCCAGCCGGGAAAAAAATAAAAAAAAATCACGCACAACCCAGGAGGGGTCTTTAGGACGCCGACTCCTCATGTCCTCGATTTTAATGTCGCTACAAAATAAAGTCAGTCCCTGCGCCAACTCCTTGTCTCGACAGAACCGGGTTTGGAATTGGTGACACAAAAGACCAATGACCCTGACGACAGACCCAGGAGATTTCCACCTAGATCATACAGATAAGGCGAATGTATGGCTGTCAGCCACCAGCACCTGCCCATGGCTCAGAGCTGATTGGAAGGTCGGTTCCGCCACAACAGGGCCATCCGGGTCCATTGCCCCCTCCCCGTTTCACAGCCGCCCGCATACTCACCATCTCCCGGATTCCAGATGTCCCGGAGCCCACCACATGACCTCCCAGAAACTGCAGGTGACAAGGCGACAGAAGCTGAAGCGAAGATACACAATACTCGTGAATCCCAGTTAACAAGGCAAAACTGATAGAACAACCCAGCTAAGTGCCCAAGCGCAGGATACAAAGGCCCGGTCACAACCCCGAAGCCACTCCCTCACTTCCGGTTTCCATCTGACTGGCCAGTTCAGACTTTAGCATCCACTGATTGGATAAAGTTCTAGTCCCTACCCCTCTGCTCTTGATACGATGAGACCCGGCTGCGTGAGGCAAGAAAAGGGAGAGATTACTTTGTTCCGAAACACGATGGGGAGGTGTAGGGTTGTGGCCCCTCGCAGGGCATGCTGGGAATGCTGGCGTCTAAATATCTTCTCGTGGTGGCTCGTGCAGCTGCCTAAGTACGATCGCAGCGTGTCCTGGGAGAAGTGGTGTCATCCTACA